GCCTCACCTAGGGCGCAGCCCCCGCCGGGCGGGGGCAGCCCTTTGCCTTCCCTTCGGTGTCCTGGAACTGGAACTGCTGCTGCTGGAGGATGACGAGCCGCAGCCGCTATGCCAGTGCAGGAGTGACTGAGGCAGCGCCTCGCCCAGCCCCCTGCCCACCCAGTTGGAAGCGTGAGGCTCAGCAGGACCCTGGGGTCAAAGGCAACCCATACCACCCACCCCAGCTGGGCACCCACTTGTGAGGTGACTTACCCTCCAGTCAGCAGCTGCCCCTGCCTCTGGGGGCAGTGGGCTTGGAGTCTGCCGTGCCACCTGCCTCCTGAGACTTGAAAGTGGGCGACAGGGCTGCAGAGGAGATGGGGCTGGTGGTGGGCAGGAAAGCCAGCCCCCCACCTGCAGTAGTTGGACTTCAGACTGGCCCCCTGCACCTCAAGGCCCCCATCCCCCAACAGCCCACCTGTGACAGGCCGAACTTAGTCCTGCTGAGATGCGTGCCCAGAGCCCAGGGCCCCACAGTGCCAGTGGGGAGGGCAGGGGCGGGACGTGGGGAGGAGCAGCACCACCCGCCAGACCAAGGAATCCTGAGGTGCCCCACCCGACCTCTGTTCAGAGTCCTTGGCCCTGACTCACTGCCCTCCCCAAGCATGCCCAGCTTTCCCACTGTGGGAAGTGGGCAGTTAACTGCCTTTGCCCACACCCCTAAGCCCTTGGCAAGTGAGGGGGCTGTGGGCAACTGCAGGTGTCTGGGGAGGCTGGTGCCTCCCCAGCTGGCATCAGCTTCACCAGCACGGGCATGCTTCTGAAGCTGAGGACCCCGCAGGGCCCACTGTACATGGTGACACTGGCACTCTGGTCGCATGCCAGACACTGATGAGGGGCTTTGTGTGGGCCAGCCCACTTCTGCCGCCATGGCATAATCGAGGAGTGTCTGCAGGGCAAAGAGCCAGGCTGGAAAGCGTTAGGCCGAGTGTGAGGCCAGTGGGATGGCGGCAGTAGGGTAAGCTGGAGGAAGTTACTCTGCCTCCGGGGCCTCAGTTTCCACATCTGCACACGACAGATGCTCTGTGTGTGTGTGTGGGGGGTGGTGTTGTGATGATTGTTTTTTGTGGCGCATAATAGGTTTCCAAATTTTTTAGTTCAATTGAAGGTTGGCCTTTTTTCTACCCCTTGCTTCCCGGTTGGGGGCCAGGCGGTGAAGTGTGAGGGCGAATGTAGCATGAATAGACTAGGACACAAACTCACACCTAGGAAGGGTGACTCAAGCCCAAGATGCTGCTGGCCCTGCTGGGGTGGGAGGTTGGGGCTGGACACAAGGGTAACCAGCTGAGCCCAGCCTTCCTGCCCACACTGGGCTGGGCCCAGTCAGTCTGGGGGTCCTGAGGCCCATTTTCCCTTGCCACGAGGCGAGGTGCCTGAGGCATGGGGTGGCAATGCACCTGAGCGAGTCTCCGCCAGGATCCACGGTGGCAGGCACAGTGCAGGCTCCGGTGTGCAGGGCGAACAGCCAGCCGCCTGGACTTGACATTCTAACAGGGGGAACCAGCCAGCACACACAGGGGAAAAGTCTGCTGGGAAAAGACTGGGAACTCCCAATATCCACCAGTTAAGAGATAAAAAAAGACCTAGCTACACAGTGGAAGAGTATTCAGCACTGGGACAATGTGTTCTGCCTCACGGGTGAACCGCAAAGGCATTCTGAGGGGAAGACATCAGTCACAGAGACCACATGGTGGTGCTCACTGTCGCGTCAGGAAAGGCAGAGAGCATGTGGCTGCCAAGAGCGGGCAGGACCTCGAGAGGCCCAGCCCGAGCGCCTTGCCGCTCTCTGCTCCCTGGCAGGAGGCTGGCCTCCAGCAGCAGCTGCTCGGGAAGGAGCGAGGGCGCAGCAGCTCCATTTACGGTGCCTGGAGCAGTCCGTGTCCTGTGCTGGGATTCAGACACATGGTTGCAAGTGGCTGGACATAGGCCGCCTTGCTCGAGAGCCGCGTGGACAAGTTTACTGACGACTGAAAGGACACAGGCTTGGGACCCTGTTCTGCCACTTCTCTCTTGGTGGCCACATCTACCTAGCCCAGCGGCTGTGAACGGAGGTCAGCTACCAGAGACAAGGGCGTGGCCATCCCCCTGCTCTTCTGGGGCAGGAACAGCAGAACTGGCCACACCGGCTGCACACTGGTTTTGCTAAGGGGTCCTGTTGCCTGCGGCAGGTGCTGGGGGCTCAGGGGGTCCAGGTAACGGGCTGGCAGGTTGTAGCATTGGCTCTGAGGGTGCAGAGCACTGCTCCCCTCCCACGCTCAGCTGCTGGTTGTTGCTCCCCCTCCAAGGCCAGGGACACAGAAGGCCTCCCATCCACTGCTCCTGTCTCCCCGGCCACAGCCAGACCTTTGTTGGCGGGCTGGATGTGAGCAGAACAGGCATTTCCATAAACCTCCGGCCACGCTGGTCACTGCAGGGAGACCTGGCGAGCAGGCTGGTCAGAGGCCAGACCAGAGTTAATCTCTACTGCTGACACCCCCTCCTGGCAGCTCTGTCCCACCCAAGGGTGCAGCAGTGAGGTGAGATGGGGCTCGATGTGAGGGGAGGTGGCCTGGTGCTCAGCAGTGAAGGTAAACTCCAAATTTTCAAATTAGTCTGTCTGCCAACAACTGTGAGCTGATTTCTGTCTAGAGCCAGGCCCTTTCTGGGACAGCCTTTCTGAACGAGGGGAGCCTGGGGGGTTAGGAGAGAGCTCTGGGACCCGAGTGTAAAAGTTCAACTCAACTTTCTTAGGTGGACACAGGCAGGGACCAGCCACTGAGCACTGTGGCGACTGGTCCGTGCTGGGTGGCATTTCCCACAAGAGCACCACTGTTGCCTACAAAGTGTCAGGGTGTCTTCAGGCCACGGGCGTCTGGCAGGTGGTGGCAGTTGACCAGACAGTACAGCAGGCTCGAGGCCCTGCACAAGTGCAGCAGCCCAGGGCAGACGGAGGGGGTGCCAAAGAGGGCTGCCCCCCGGTGGCCTAGGGGTGAAGTCTCAGCGCTATCACCAAGATGGCCTGAGCAGCTGACCTCTCCTGTCTCCCCGCTGCTCCCCGCAGCAGTGGATGTCAGTCGATCTACCTGTTCTACCCCGTCTGTCTCTGGTGGGCCTCTTACTCCCTGCACCACTGGCCCACACCCTAGTTCTAAACAATTTTTTTTTTTTAAAAGATCTTTAAAAAGATCTGAAAAGACTTGCCTAAATGGCCCACTATACAGACCACTAACTATTCCGCTGAGCCCACACATGCAGAACTGACATAATCTAATAATGTAAATTGATACTGTATAAACAGTAATACAATTTAAAACAAAAAATGCACACAAAAAATTCAAAAGATGTCATTTCTGTAAGGAATCCATTTCTAGAATGGGCATCTTATGACAACATTGGCAGAGATTAAACTGGCAGTCTCAGAAAGAAAGCACATGCTAAAATTTATTTTAAAAAGGAAGGCCCTTTTTATTAAATGTGTATTTTATTCTTTTCAGAATCTAATAAAAAAATGCTTATTCCTACCTAACTTTAAAAAACCCCACAAATCAATCAAACAACAGACTACGGGAACATCAATTCTGTGATAGGAAAGGAGGCAACAGCCTCAGCACAAGCAAAGAAAACTACCTGCAGCAGAGAGAAGGGGGCAGGGAGACGCCTCTGGCCTGGGCTAGGCCCCGATGCCACCACAGGGCAGCTCTCGGAAAGCCCGAGTGAACCTGCCCCAGGAAGCAGCAAGCCTCTCACCTCAGGAGTAGCAAACAGACCACAAGCCCGAGTGATCGCACAGCACAGATCAGTCACTACTGCCTAAGCACACGCGCTCGAAGCTGTCCCCGTCCCTCAGGGCGGGGCGGTCACAGGACGTAGCTGTTCTTCACCAGGTGCTCCTTGTCGTCCTCGGAGGTCCAGACGGTGTGGAGGGCACGCTCCTGGTTCCTTCGGGCCACCCTGATCAGGCAGACCACGGAGGCGCCCAGCAGGAGGATCAGCACCATCGCGCACAGCCCTGCCAGGACCACCACTGGGGAGGGAGGGAGTCTCAGGCCTGCCGGTGCCAGGCGGTCCACACGAGTCCGGGAGGGCCTGGCTATAGCCCGAGGCCTGAGGACGGCCCACTCACCCTGGAGGCCACACGCCTCCCGCTGGGGGGCCACAGGCGGAGGCCGGAGGCCTGAGGCCTGAGAGCGGGCAGTGCTGTGTGTGCCCACTGGCTATCTGAGCTGCTGCTTTTTGAACAAAGAAGCCCCAGCTCCTCTCGCATAGCCCGTGGGGCTGGCAGCCCTAGGCCCAGTAGTGCTCACCACAGGTGAAAGCACAGGCTCTGGCAAGCAGGAGCCATGGCAGCCTGGTGTGTTCACAGACCTCCCCCAACGGGCCACAGAGCAAGGGTGCGTGGAGCTGGGCCCCTTGCGCTCCTCACCACCCAGGCGAACTCCACTGCGGCTGCCCCACTGGTCAGTTAAGATGTTCAGCTCCCAAAGGCTCTACCTGAGGTTTGTGGCCCCTTGGGGCAGCTTGCTGCTCTTCTCCCCACCTCCCCCTACCACCCTTAAAGCCCACACGGCTTTCTGCTCCCCAACCCCCTGGCCAGATGGCTTCCAGCTTGGCTCCTCTTCTGATTCAGAGCAGACATAGGCCAGGTCTGGGCTCCTTTACAGCAAAACAAGTCAAAAGAGGCCAAACCAGTGTGGCAGGTCTTTTGTGCAAATACTACCATGCAGTGACTCAGGCCCAGTTGCAGCCGCCATGCGGAGGAGGCCCAGCCTCCCGGGGCGCAGCACTGGCACAGCCAGGCCTCCCCAACTTCCTGTCGCCATGACCAATCTGTACACCTGTGGCAGCAAAGCTGCCTCCCAGGCCTGCGGCGCCCCCCGCAGGGGTGGCCCCACTGCCTGGCAGACGCAGGCCTGGCTCCCAGCCCCGAGGCCGGCCACGGTGCAGAGGGACAGACACCCAGCACGTGTTCCAGCGGCCGGCCATTTCTGTGTGAAACAGACTTTCTGCCACAAGATGTTTATAGTGAAGGATGCTATGTGTGATGAGGCAAGAGCCACAGAAACAGCTGGATTCAGTCAAGGCGGGGATGCAGGTGGAGGGGGCAAGAGGCCACTTACCTTTAGTGCCCTGGGGCAGGACAGGATACAACTGCTTGTCTGGAAGAGAATGCGCAACCCTGAGAGGTCAGCACACAGTCCTCCCCCAGAGCCGCCCCTCTGAGCCCCCACAGGCCTTCGTGGGAAGCGCCTTCTGAGGGACTTCTTCCCAGCATCTGAGGGCTTCGAGGTTCTGCCACCTGGAAGGAGCCCAGCCACCCACGCGCACACCCTCCCCATGGAGAGCCAGAGGAAGGTGGCGCACACGCGTTTCCCAGGCTTCCTTCCAGGGCCGGGGTAGGCACGGGCGGGCCGGCCGCCGCGGACTCACCAGAGCAGCGCTGCATGCACTCCTCTTCCGAGAGGTAGCTGTTTTTATTGCCCCGGCACCCTCCGTAGATGAATCTGTCACAGGAGTTCTTCTCGGCATCAAAGTACCAGCGCTGGAAGGCTGCCCGGCAAGGCCCCGTGAGCGCCTTGGCAGCGCAGGACTCTGGGAGCGAGAGGCCCGGAAGGGTGGTGAGCAGGGCCCGGCGGGAGTGACATGGGGCCCTCGTCGCAACCCCGCCCGTGCTGGGGCCCGTTGTCTGCGAGGCGCCTGACACGCAGCCGACCGCGGGGTGCTCTCTCTCACAGCCTGACTGTGCTGTCCCGAGGCCTCTGCCAGGCACTGTCCGGCACTGTGTGTGCTAACTCAGGACCCTCGGTGGGTTGGGGAGGGGGCCGGGCAGGGCTGCTGCCCATCGCCCGCGTCCTGCCCGTGCCAAGGCCCACCCTGCACCCCACTGCCCTGGGACCTCCACAGAGCATGAGCTTTACCACCAAGGGAAGGCCAAGAAGCCCCACTCTACGGTTTCCTCAGTGGAAGTCCTCAAGTGTCCCTCAATTCCCAGCTACATAAGAAAACACATTTTGCCCATGCATGAATGATTTTTAAAAGTTATACCTTCGTAGTTGAAAATCTCGCTGGAAAGGTCATCAGAACCCTGCCGCCTGGGAACTAGAACGCACACACCGTGTTAGGGAGGCTGGGTGGACACGGGGCACGTGCCCAACCGCTGGGGAAGGTCTGAGGGCCCACAAGGCAGCGCGGCACGCCGGCCCTTGCCAGAGGGCATGGAGCCCTCCAGTGGCAGCCTGCCAGCCACCCCGTCCCACAGGCGCCATGCCCCACTGGGATGGGTGCTGGGCAGGGCCTCCTGCCAGCTGTGGGGTTACTGTATTAAAGAACCACCGTCATCATTTCTGGGGTGATGGGGACAACGGTCTTGTTCACACTCTGACACTGGAAGGAGGCCCCTGCGCTCCTGGAGATGGTGGCAAGTAGGGTCATCTGCTGGTGCCTCGGGGCGTTGGGTCACCTTGGAGAGGCCCCTTTTTTGAGAGTCAACAGTCAACTCAGGCAAAGCAACCACCGGGGCAGCCAGAGGATCCCAGCCCAGTTAAACTGGAAGGTGACTCGAGCCTAACTCTGTTCCGCGAGCCAGCCAGCCACTAAATTAAGAAACGCTCACGCAAGCACAGATGTCCCAGGTGAGGGAGCAGGGCCTGGACGCCCGCCGGGGCAGCCCCTGCCCGCGAAACCTACGCCTGCGACTGGCCTTCGGGCAGCTGGGCAAAAACTGCCAGTGCACCAGGACACTCACCCGGCTCCCACTGCAGAATCCCCTAAGCACAAAGGCACAGAGGGGGACAGCAGCGGCTGCAGCACCGCCGAGCAGGCTGCCACCGGCTGGCGCCCGGGACTGCTGTGGGAAGGCGGAGGGCAGAGGGAGCCGGCACGGACACCAGGGAGCAAAGGAGAACAGGCCAGGCCAGGTGGGGCAGGGAAGGTGCCCTGCCCTGCACCCCGGGAGGGCCGGGGAGGCGACAAGGCAGAGCCAGGACAGATAGGGGCGCAAGTGTCGGGTGCAGGCAGAGCCTCTGTTCGGCAGCTCCCAGTAAACAACCAGGGGACAGATGCCCTTTTACAGTTTCCAAATGACAAACGTCCCTTCACAGCGAACTGTCCGATGGCCTCACTCCACCCTGGGTCTCTCTGAGAACCTACCATTGGGGACGGAGGCGTCGGCTCCTTCCCCGCCGGCAGCCAGCTCCTCCACGGGCTTCCCTGCAGGCACAGAAACAGCAGTGAGAAGGCGCACAGCCTGCCCGGGCAGAGACGGGCTGGCAGCAGGTGGCGGTGGCCTCTGGTGGTGATTTCCATTTCTCTTGCGTGCAGGCTCGTCCTGGTGCACAGGGCACAGCCTGCCCGAGCTTGGAAATAAGGAACCAAGATTGCTCTGTGGGTCAGACTGGAACATCGACTTGCTGGGAATCAGAGCAGAGACCGGCCAAGTGGCTTAGAAAGATGGCGGCGCAGGGCACAGCCGCCCGGCGAGCCCTCAGGTGAAGGGACGCGCACCCTGGTACACGTCACCGCACTGGACACTGACACGTGGTCAGTTTTATCAAGTAAACTTCATCTCTCACAGCTAAGGGGGCGAGTGGAGGTTAAGGTCCAGGAAGCCCTGCTGTTTCCCTGCTGGCCTGACGGCCCCCGTGCAGAGGCCCAGGGCCGCCTCACCCGCTGCCATCAGGCGCCCACACCATGGGCCAGTTCCCTGTCCCACCTCTCCCATCAAGCGCTTTCTGGGGACCCTGGCCAAGAGCTTGCCACTGTGGACTAGCCAGGGGCCCACGTGTCCCCTGGGTGGGTCTAGTTCTCAATATAAATTAATAACCGGGCATGCTCCTTCTCGACTGGCGTCCCACAGCGCCGGCCTGCCCAGGAGAGGCGACGCCAGCAGGCGGCCCCAGGGACTGGCGGCACTGGCAGTCTAGCTCTCCTCGGACTCACCAGGCCCCTTCAGGCCCCGCCGTGGACGCACTCCCTGGGCCCTTAAGACTGGCCCAGACTCGGGACCACCTCTAGGAGATGGCTGTCCGCCGCCCCAAGCAAACAGCAGCACTCATCTGCAGGGACAGCCGGCCTTCGAGCCGCCACCCGCTGCTTGTGCCCTCAAAACGTCCACTCTCTTCCCGAGAAAATAGAGCATGACCAGATCAGGCAGGAATGTTTGCTGTAGTCAATTCCTGATTAGTGAAGAACAGAAAGGTAACAAATATTTCCCCTAACTCGTCTTCCCACACCAAATTATAGTTGACAGTGGAAGATTATAATAAATAGTATTTTCCTCAGTCACCATGTGGTAAGATTGCCAACTGTCCACTGCCCCCCAGCCATTCCCAAAACAGTGAAGGGATTGCCCGTGTGACCCAAACGGTCACCTCAGCCCTCCCCATGCTTGCAGAGCGCCGGGCACCAGAGTCCTGAGTGACTCGGGCACTGCCAGCCTCGTGTGCCCAAGTGCAAGGCCCAGGTCAGAGCCAAGTGTCCCCCTGAGTGCAGAGCTCCGACAGAGACTGCGGCCTGAAAAGTCGGCGGGGCGGGATGCGGCCTGCACCAGGACAGCAGTGTGGCCTGTCAGTCACACCCCCAGCCGAACACCAAGGTCAAGTCATCAAGTGACATAAGAAGTCACGTGCCGATGTCGGGAAGATCCCCAGAGGAGCTCTTAGCCGCTCAGCCAAGCCCCTGGGTCTTGGGACACTCGCGTGGGGAGAGGGGCTGGCTCAGCTCAGTCACCCCCGTTGCTGTGGGGCTTTAGGTGGTTATTTAAACTCTGAGCTTCTGGTGGGGACATCATCATCTTGACTCCACACAATCCTGTGGAAGTGAGGCTGGGACAGGGGCAGATTCCAGGAAGTATGTTCTAGTTCTAACTTGACTCAAAACTTAGCTGGTTTGGTGAGTTCCTCAAGTCTTTTGTCTCAGGGTAAAAATAACCCACTGCCCAAGGAGCCGGGGTGGCCTGTCTGAGAGGACCCGGAGGACTCTCCTCGAGAAGGGAAAGGCCACTTCCTCCTGTGTCGGGCTTGCGTGGGGTCTATACTCATACGTGGTGCGAGGAAGTCGGGACCAGACACAGCCAGCCGCCTGACCCCTGTGGAAGGTGAGAGGGTACGACTGTGAAACCACAAGGCCTCTCTTTCTTCTGCTTTTTAAAACATCCCCTAGATCTGTCATGAAGAACTAGCGACATGCGTAAGACAAGCACATTCATTAGCATGGCTGCCTCAAATTCACATACTGGCTCAAAATTTTTAAAATGTCCCCAACCATCACTGCTTTTACCTGTGACACCAACGCATTTCTTGAGACACTGCTCCTTGGTCATGTAGTTGTTGCCATTCCCGTCACAGCCTCCATACACGAACTGCTGGCAGGTTCCCTCGGTGGCATTGTACCACCACCTTGGGATGGAGGCCCGGCACCTTCCCACTTTCTTCGAAACGAGACAAGATTCTGAAATACAAAGCAGAGACCAGTTAGCCTGCAGGGTCATCCTGGCAACAGAGCACAGGCCCAGCCCTGTGGGAGGACCACGGCTTTCCAGGTCCCCGAGCGAAGAGCTAGAGGCTTCCGCTCCGGCACAGAGCCTCTGCCAGCTGCTCCTCAACGGTAAGGCCGTCGGGTGCGGGGCGCACTCAGTGTGCCCTCCTCAGGGAAGAAAGAAATACTTCACCAAACAAAGATTCCAACCTACCCAGCTGAGCTGTATTTTGGCTGCATGTGATTAGGCCCTGCCCCCATGATCAAATACTTACACGTCCAGTATAAAAACATCCCTTCAAAGGCAAAAACAAAAAAGCAAACTAAAAAACCCAACACACACTTCAGGATCCTTCTGCAAGAGAAGGGCAGTGAGCTCTGACTGGCCAGAGCAAGTCATGAGAACTTCTTAACCTTTAGCCACTCTGCTGGGTACCCCTAGATCTTCCTAACCCTAGTTCCCCCACCACCAAACCCCAGTTCCCCAAGGGACTCAGTTCATTTTGACCCCAGAGCTTGCCCCAGAGGCGCCTCTGACCTGGCCCTGTTCTAGCAGTACAGGGAAATGAAACTGTGTCCCGAAAACCCAGCCAGGTGCATCTGCCTGCAGAAGGGTGAGAGCCCGGGGTCTCTCCGCCCCCACAAGGGGAGGGAGCGTGCCAGAGGCTGGTGCTGCACCGGCTCCCTCCTGAGGACATCAGGAAACCCCTGGGGCGGGAGCAAGCTCAGCACGTGCACCCACGTCCCCCGGCACCTGCCGCCTTGGCACCAGAGCGGGCCTTCCTCCAGGGCCTGGCGCGCAACTCAAACACACGCATGGGGCCCACACTGGCGTACATGCTGCCAATTACTGCTCTGCTGGCCCTGCTGTTTGTGAAGTTCACCACAACATCTTGGGGGTGACTTCCACAGAGGGCAGGGTCTGTCTTTCTCTGGTGTCTCCCAAAGCACAACCACAGGGTCTACAGACACTAACCAGTGGACAGATCAGCCAGTGTGTGCAAAACACACTTCCACACACTGGATTCCCCTCCACACTAATAAATGAAATAGTACAACGGAAAAAGCGCAATCTGAAGAAATTCTCCATTAATTTGAAAGCAACTATCAATTAAACTGTCAGTAAAGCGAACCTGAGACTCTTCACAGGAGTGACATACTGCAAAGGCAAATCAGCCCCATCAGGACGCTGTGTGGTGCTGGGGTAGGGAACAGCTGCGAATGGGCAAGGGGGTCTTCACGGGGGAAAAGGTCTTAAAATTGGTGTGTGCGCAGTTTTACAATTCTGCAAATGTACCCAAAATCACTGGATCATATGCTTAAAATGAGTGATTTTGACATGTGAGCAGTACTTTTATAAAGTAGGTTAAAAAAAACAAACAAACCAGGTCCTCCCTGGTGGTACAGAGGGTTAGGACACAGCACTGCAAGCCGACCGCAGCTGCTTCAGTGCGAGCTCCATCCCCGGCCCCGGAGGTGACCACATGGCAGCAGACCTCTCCTGACCCTCCCGCTGCTCCCCTCAGCAGTGTACCTCCTCAATCTGCCTGTTCTGCTCCCCACTCTGTCTCTGGTGAATTCTCTCACCACCCCTACTCCTCTGGGCCTGTACCCCAGTTCTGTATGCATAAATATTATATATATATAAAACACGGCCACATGCACCAGAGCAGCTGCTGCGTCCCTCTGACTGGGTGCCAAAGGTCACAAAACACACACGATGCACTCTGCCCTCTGGCCTAGGGCTCTGCCCAGCCCACACCACTTGCCAAATGGTGGAGGCAGCACTGTTATCAACAAGACAAACTGGGGAGTCCGGATAACTCTACACTGAGGACCCCAAAGTGACAACACCCGGCAGAGGAGGCCCACCACTTGCACTAGGCAGAGGCAGACCACACCTCCAGCCCCGGGGGCCACCCCCACCAGTTCTTGTTTTGTTTCTAAAGAGGTTCAGGTACAGCCTTTTTTAAAGATTTATTTATTTATGCATACAGAATGGGGGTACAGGCCAGAGGTGCAGGGGGTGAGAAGATTCACCAGAGAAAGAGTGGGGAGCAGAACAGGCAGACTGACTGAAGTACACTGCTGAGGAGAGCAGCTGGTGGGTCAGGAGAGGTCTGCCACACCATGGGGTCACTCCCTGGCTGGGAATGGAGCTCATGCTGCAGTGGCTGCGGACAGCTTCACAGTGCTGTGCTTTTAACCTGCTGCGTCACCATGGAGGGCCCAGGTACAGCCTCTTTGACCCAAAAGAGGTCCTGTCCATGAAATGGCCGGTGACTTATCCCCATGGCAACATAAACCCGAGGGAGGCCAGAATAGCTCAAGGGTTACACACTCTGCACCAGCCCAGGAGCCTAAGGGTGTGTACAGAGGAGGAGGAAAGTCCGGGGAGGCTGCCTGCCTCTTGGTGAAGAGAACGCTGCCCCGAACCTGCCCTCTGCTCTGCAGGCTTGGATGCAGCCCTGGTGCTGACGGGACGCAGACGAGGGGGCCCGTGCCAGGAAAGCCTGCAGCGGCTAAGTAGCACTGGGGCAGGTGGGCGCATACCCCAGCAAGTGGTCATACACACACGCTCACTGGCATGCAGCAGGCAGCTTGGAGTCAGGAGGAGCCAAGTTTACTACGGGATCCCATCCCCCTTCCAGGGACCACAGCTGTGGCAAGCAGGTCTAGACAGACCTCTGTCAAGCAAGCGCGGCTGAGTGTCCTCTGGGACACTTCCTCTCCTGGCAGGACATCCTTCCTGGAGACCCTGAGCCCTTCACACCAGGTCATGGCAGCCTGGGAAGTCATAATGTCTGAGACAGCTGCTCCCACCAGCTGTCAATAATTACACGTGGATTTCAGAGTTTAAGTTTCAGTTAAGAGCCCCATCCTCAGATTTCTTTGGTGTTATGTGGGGGTGGGAGGGAGTTCTCTTTAGTCCAAGGGGAATTTAGAATTGTCTCCTTATGTTAAGAGAAAACTTGAAAAGAAAGAAAGAAACAAGAGGACCTCCCTGGTGGCGCAGTCTCAGCACTATCACCAGCCACTGCAGCATGAGTTCGATCCCTGGCCAGGGAGCTGACCCACATGGTGCAGCAGACCTCTCCTGTCTCCCTGCTGCACCCCGCAGCAGTATATTTCAGTAGATTTGAATTTACTCTGTCTCTGGTGAAACCTCTTACCCCCCTGCACCTCTGGCCTGTACCCCAGTTCATGTATGCATAAATACAAGAGAGCTGGGATCTGAATTCACATTAGTCTGATAAGTGTCCAGGTACTAACCACCACTGAGGCAGACAGAAAAGAAAAGGCACTGTATGGGAAACATAAAACTCAAGCTGCTTGAAAGCCAAAACATTCCTCTGGGCCTTGGTCACAACCTGACAGCCCAAGTGAGGGCAGGCACGCTGTTCCCAGCCACACTTACTGACAGGGTAATGGAGAACACCACACCAAAGGGACTGCCAAGGCTGAGGGGACTTGGGCCAATTTTCAGGAACTTGGAATGATTTCTATTATTATTAAGTGATGACAAGATGAAATATTAGTTTTAAAACAGTACTGGGAAACAATCATGAAAAATATGTCTCGAGTCCTATTTATATGCTCACAAACACTACTGCAAAGTTAACATTCTATGTTTTCAAAATACAGCGTAAGAAAAACAGGAACATTTTGGATACACTCACTTCAGAATATGTAAAGATGAAACTCCTGTCTTTAGGAAACATTCTCTGGAAAAGCACTAGAAATGGTTAAATCACACACCCATTGAAGTCTGAACCTACACACCAATGCTGGCAGGCAATCTGGACATTCAGCGATTACAGAGCTGCCAAACAGACTGGTTTTTGTCACGAAAAACAGGTTGCTCTGGTTCTGAAGTCACGAGAGCTTTATTCAACCCGTCAGTCTGGGCCCGACCATCAGCTCTGAGCACAGCCAGGCCCTGCTGGCCAGATCTGCCACCTTCCAGGCAGAGGCCAACAACTGACAGGAGGAGCGAGAGGCTGCACTGTGCGCGCTCTGGGCCTTTCAGACATGGAGGTGTGCTTTGCCACAGACTCGGTCTACAAAGAAAGTGATACTGGTGCCATCAAGAGGGAGGGACTTGCTCAAAAAGAACCACCTGCAGTGTTACCATGGTAACGCTGAAAGAGCCCGTAGTGGTACCCAGCATGCAGTGGGCATGGTTGTAAACAACACGGGCAAGGTTCCTTGTCAAGAGAATTCACATTCCTGTTGGGCACGCAATGCTAGTATGCTAGTGCCATCGCCGGGCAGCTTCCTGAGGTGTGGGAGAAAATGATCAGGAAAAAGGAAGCTGAAGAGAGAGGCTCTGGGGTCTAGCTGAAGTGCCAGTGGCCGCCTGCAGAGAAGCGCACTCTGTGAGGGCAGTGGGAAGGAGCCCAGGCTGCGGGAGCCCACCCCCAGGAATTCATGGCCGGTAGGTGTGAAAAATAAAGGACCTCCGAACCAAAAGAATATATAAAGGTCCGGCTGGCTGGAGTGATCTGGCGTCACCTTGTCAAAGAGCTCTCAGAAACCTGAGGCCCCTGGCACCACCAACCTAACGCCAAAGCACAGGCTTAACACAGACTAATCACCCTCACCAAAGTCAAACAGCTCCAGTTGTGACTACTTGCAGCTTGAGACATATTTAAAACTTCAAAGAAACACTCAAATACTCTGGAAAGTACAGAAAATATACTCAGTTTCATCAAGCTAATGTTTTAGTTTTTATTTTCTTTTTTTTAAAAGATCTCCTAAAAAAAATAAAAGATCTACTTAAGCATACAAGAACTGGGGTACAGGTTAGAGGCTTGGGGGTGCTGAAAGGATTCACAAGACTGACCTGGGAGCAGAACAGGTAGGTCTACTGAAATATGCTGCTGAGGGGAACAGCAGGAAGGTCAGGAGAGGTCTGCTGTGCCATGTGGGTCACTCCCTGGCGGGGGATCGAACTCATGCTGCAGCAGCTGCAATAACTTTACAGTGCTGTGCTTTAACTTGTTGTGCCTGTTATGCCGGAATGGAACGCACCACCCAAAAAAAAAGCCAGCCACACCGTTGTAAACACAAGAGAAGACTTTATGCAAGCTCAAGCTTGGGCCCAACCGCACACCAGAGGCACCTGGGTGGCAGGAAGGGCCCAGAACAAAGGGAAGAGCAGATTATACAGTCCCTTTTGGCGCGCAGGCCTCGGGACAAAGGGCTGGCTATTGACTGGCTTGGCGGACCTTTACATGGTCTCCAAAATATGGTGAGGCCGGCTTTCGGACACGGCGATTGGCCCCCTACACCTTATCTATACAGGAAGGCACAAGAATGCAGGTTCCACCCAGCGGGGAGTAAAAGTTTCCCCTGGAATGGCGGGTTTGAGAACATGGCGCTGATAATGTTCTTCAGTGCCACCAGGGAGGGCCTTGAAAATGTTATTTTATACACAAAAATAAGAGAAGCTACAAGTTCACTCTTTAGTATAAAAAGCAAAAATAGCAGGACGAGCCATTTAATTCAAGAGTTTCAAGAACAGGACAACCCTCACCGCATTCACTGATCTGCACCAGCTGAAAACAGCCCACAGAGCTGGTGTACTTCTACTGGCGAAATTAAATACCCGCGAGGTACAGGAAATGTCTAAGACCAAAAGGGGTGAAAAGCAAAAGAACTGTTTACGTGCTGCGAATCCTTTTCTGAGCCGTGGGTCTCTGCTCCGTGAGGGCAGCAGAGGGAGACGGCTGTGGCTTCTCTTCCTCACGGCCTCTCTCCCAGGCTCGCCTGCACATTTGACCTCACAGTGCGTGCCGCACCTGGTCTTAAGGACTAGCAGTGGTTTTATCTGCAT